TGGGGACTCAGCTGAGTGCAGTTGAACACTTTTTTTTTTCTGGAAAGGTTTGTTGGCCTTCAGAGGAACTCATCAAGGGTTATTGGAGGGAGTATTTTGAGCCCCAGGCAGATACCCAGCATCAGCTGTTACCAAGTGAATCATAAAGGAAAAGGTCAGTGTGAATATTAACAAAGCCAACTACGGCTGAGAGGCAGTGTTAGAAGTTCCAGTTATCTGATAACAGAAAGAATAGGAAGTCATTTTAGTAGAATGCAGGAACTTCTCCTTGTCTCCAGGAACTGTAAGTGAATGGATATGGGAGTGAGAGGATGATACCTTTTTCTTTAACTATATTTTCTCATCCCCTTTTAATAATGTTCTCAAAACCCAAATCTGTCTGTTTCAATATGAGGCTTAATGGATCTGTGGATACTTCTTTTTGGGACCCACCAATCAGTAACAGTCAAGCAATGTGATTTTATCAGAAAGGAAAACGCAAAATAAAAAACAATTCAAAATGTACACCATAATGAAAATGCATTTCTGTTTCAGAACATGAAAATGGTTTATTACAGATAAACCATTTCTGCTTGGACATACTTGATTTTTTGCCATAAGGAAAAGAGAAGTATTGCTGCAGCAGTAGCAGGGGTTGGTAAAGAAAGCACTTCTGATCAATACTATATTAGTTAAAAAGAATTTTTGAATGGCCTAGAGACTGCTATTAATAAAGCACTGGTTAATTGTAACAACATACAAGGTTAAATATGTAACTTAAAAGTTTTTAACTCCAGTATTGAAAGAGATAAATGTAGACCCTGTTCTAGTAAGGTTCATCTGAACTTATTCCTTGAACTATGAATTTACTATTCTACTATTCTATTACTCTAGTAGAAGTTGGCACTTTTGGATGGATAAACCTGGATTAACTTCTGATACACAGTGTCAGTTCTCAGCCACTCCAGTTCAAGCAATTTCAGAAGCTCATGCTACATTTGTTTTCTGGAAGGTTATTTTACAGCCTATAACAAAAATGTTCAAGGGTCTTAAGGCCTTTCCATAATAACAAGTCCATCCATTTTAGGCCTCTTTTTTCTGAGCTTTTACCTATAACTAGCTAGAAGTATTTTAATCAGCTTTGCTTTTGACCAAATGTAATTGCTTGTTTATGGAAGAAAGCACTACATTGCAGGCTAATCTGTTCTGCATCAGTTTCCAAACAAACAAAAAATAGAGCAATTATTTCTGCTTGCATGCCCTTCCCCTCTTTTTTTTCTTTTTTTTCCCCTTTTTTTTTCCTTTTTTTTTTCCTTTTTTTTTCCCTTTTTTTTTTCCCTTTTTCTTTTGCTTTTCAGTGTAGACTATAGGGAAAGATTGCTCTGCTTTTGCATTGTGAAGGGACTGCCTCTGTTACAGAAAATGCTTCCTGCATACATAATGTATCTGTTATCTAGGTCAAGCAGTTTGAAATCTTTCTTTTACAAGGTTTTCATGCAGCATGTGTATGGGATCAGAATGTGCTAAGTGATGATCTCATTATAAGCAGACGTGATATTTTAGAATGCAAGTTGCCATCATATTATATAGCTTTTTTAGGGAAAAGAAGTAAAAATTTTAAGTGTGAAAATCTGATTAATACCTGCAAAGATTCATAGTTGTTCTGTTTTTACAGACTGAAAAGTTTAGACGATTCACTGAAGTGTCAGTGTGTCAATAGCAAAGAAAGAAATAGCAAAGCTCTGAGTTCTGAACCCCTGTTCTTGACACACTAGGGCTGTTACTGTCTGATTAATAACTTTCTGTTATTAATCTTTCTCTGTAAAACTTGTTCATTTATAAAAATGCACAGTCAAAAAATAACTACACACTCTGCAAACTTTGATGGTTCAGAAAGTAGTCAAAATTAAGTCTTGCTGAATATATGGAACAAGATATAACCTTTGATTAGGCAGCATATTATCTTTAAACATTTAAACTATAAAAATAGTGCTATGTTTTGTGATCATTACCTTCTCCATACCTAGAAGCCATGCCTACCAGAAGAACCCTGAGCTCAATTTTGTGGTTTTTTTTATTAGTAAAGATATTGTGGTGCTGGAGTGCCTCCAGAGAAAGGCACCAGAGCTGGTGAAGGGTCTGAAACCTACATCCTGTGAACAGTGGAGGAGGGTGGTGGGATTATTTATCCTGGAGAAAAAGAGGCTCAGAGGAAACCTTCTCACTTCCTACAAGTACCTGAGAGGAGGTCCTAGCAAGGTGGGGGTGGTCTCCAAGGTAACAGGTGACAGGAGGAAATGGTCTCAAGTTGCAGCAGGAAAGGTTTAGACTGGATATGAGGAAAAATTTCTTCACTGAAAGGGCTGTAACACATTGGAACAAGCTCCCCAGGGAAGTGGTTGAGTCACTGTCCCTGCAGGTATTTAAAAGATGGGTAGATTCTATGATTCTAGGAAGTGAAAACTGCAAGAGCTCAATCATGTAATACGCTTTATTGTCCTTCCCATTGCAACCTTCCATCAGCAAAATGCTTTTAGGCAGAAAGTGAGAGATGGCAATTTGATTTTCAATCTTATGAGAGGAGGAAGAGGGAGAAACAAAGATAAAAAGACCCACTGGTGGAAAGGAACCTGTCTGCCAGGATTAGGGTTCTGTAAAACATCTGAAAATAGATGTTTCCAGCCTGAGCTGCCAAAGTCTCTGCTCACTCTTTTCAGGATAGCTTTCAGCACCAGAATTGCAGTAATTTTCATTACAGAACTAAAATTTCTGTGTTGCTGATGCTACTGTTTTGATGAGGAATGTACTACAAGGCCATAGACAATCTTTTTTTTGTTGGTATCTCCAGGAAATGTTTACGACAAAGGGAATATATTTCAACACATAAGAATAAACATGTGCTTAAAAGAGAGAAATGGCTGGGTGCATTCCAGCAATGAGTGTAGACTGAGCAGGAAGAAGCCCAACCATTTGAGGAGCAGGCAATAAGCTCCCAGGCTTTGCTTTTATCCTGACATGAAAATATTCATATGGGATGTGTTCAAGTATCTGTGGGGTTTCCTCTGAAATTCACACTCCAAGGTTTTCAGCCCAAGTGGATTAATCTGACTGTATTTACAAAGTTATTTTTAGGTAGAGGCTGAAAAACCTGTTGGTACTCTTTGGCCCTTACAGCTGGCTTCCCAAAGGAAAAACACAATTGCTGAAATACCTAAAATGAACACAATTCACTTCATCTTTAGAAAAAGTATTAACCTTCATGGTAAAATTCTTAATGATTTCCTAAAAAAATATTTCCCTGTCATTGAGTATGTTCCCTGTAATTTTTCATAACAGCATTGCTCAGTGGGAATTTGCTGCTTTTCTTTCTCTCTCTGGTTCCTCTTGAAAGAAAGTTTCCTGTTCCTTGGAAAACCTTTTTATGTTGAGGGAAGCAGCAAATGACCCAGTAACATGTTACGCTGACAAGTAGATTATTTATGAGCTGCAGTTTCAGTTTATGAAATATATTATGTAATTTCAGGTGGTTTATGTACTGTCATAGTGTAACCTTTGTGTAGAATGCATTTTACCCAGATGCCTTTGCAAGAAGGAAAAGGCTGTCGTTGGTTGGACTTCTGTTGTGGTTTGGGGGTTTTTTTTGGGTTTGTTTGTTTTCTTTTCAAAATCTCCCACTCTCCTAAGAGGGAAAATGTGTTGACCTATTGGATTTGTTTACACTTCCTGCAAAGTAATGGATAGCAGACCGTGGGCTTTCTAAGTGTGAGAAAGTAAGAGGATCTCCCTGTTCTAGAAGCTGACAACAATTGGATTGTGTTGTGGTGCTTATTGGGAATCAGTTGCTCGGGAGTGTCAAGAACAAAGAAAGTAAAAATATAACTACATAGATCAATCCCAACACATCTTTTTGCTAATTTGAACAAATATCACAAAAATAAGGAGACTACCTAGAGAAGGTTAGAGGTGCTCCTGGAAAAGACCAAAAAGAAGTAGAGAGGCAGGGAGTCACTCAGGGTACTGCAGTGCACAGGTGAATTAATCCAGTTGAGCCCTGGATGTTGTGATCTTTCAATAGCAACCAATCTGACCAAGATTTCTAAGATGAAATACAAAAACTTGCTTTATAGAGATTTCATGAGAGAGCAGCAATATAAATGAATCTGTTCAAAATCCAATTGCTCATTAAATTCTGTCAGATACTGCTGTTAAAGTTTTCATTTAAATCTGAGCAATACACAGGACAGCTCTGGGTAGTGAAAAAAGGAAGCTTTGTAACCTGTGGTGAAAACATGAATGTGTAAGTAACATGAAAATCCATTTCAGGAGGAATGAGTCCATCTCCAAACGTCTAACAGGGCTTCAACAGGTAGACAGTGTCAGCTCTTGGTCTCCAGCTGCAGCATTTCCACACTGGAAAATGTGTCTCTAGAAAATGATATGATCTAGTCCTGTTACCTGAATTCAAAATATGTTATTTCCACTGTGGACTTTGATATCATCTGAAGTCAGGTATGCTTTGTACATCAGTACTGCCTCACCCACCACAAAAGTTATGTATAAAGTAAAAAGATGTTAGGATGCTCTTCCTTGAAAATGTGAGCATTCAGTCTTGTGAGATGGTTTATTTGGGGGTGGTGTAAGTGCGTCACTTAAAAATAATCCCTTAAGTATATTCACAAGTTAAATACAAATCTCACATCAGTTCCTAAATATTGTGCCAGTTTAAGTCCAGTCTTTTAACATCTGCTAGAGTCAAAACACAGATTGGTCAAGAGATGACACTTATACTTGCGTGGTCCAGTCAGCAACATGATTCATGTTGTAGGGCTGGTTGCGTAAGTTGACAAGATAATCCAGCCAGCTCTACCTAGCAGCTGCTGTGTTGCTGACAGTCTCATGTGCTCTCCTTATGAAAAAAAGCTGAACACAACTTGGCTAAAAACATGTCAGAACTGAAACTTTAGCAGATAAAATGCAGTAAGAAGATCAAAAGTTCACTCAAAAATTTCAGGTCTCACTGCACAGATCTGAAGTTTCAGAAGAATAACGATGTGGCAGTACAAAGAAAAAAAAAACTACTGAAGAGATGTTTGGATGGTTCCAAGATGCTTTGAACAACATTCAGCATCCTTGCACTGCCTTAGGTAAGAGAGGGTGATGCTGTGTGTCAGGCAAATTCAAGTATAACATAAAGGAAAGCAGAGGTACATAATTCAGAATAAAAAAAAAGCTTTCACCACCCAGTGAAAGCTTTGGGTGAAGGATACTCATACACTTGTTGGTGGTTTTTTTCTTGAATACAGTCACATACTTCAGGGGTAGAAACAGGTGTTTATCTGTAGTAGAAAGGAGTATGTAAAGGCTTTGAATCAGGAGCTCCTTTGTTCTGCCCTACTTCCCTTGCCAGCTGCCCTTAATACTTATGCTAACACTCGTATTTACCTGCTGGGAGTGCCCTCCCTTGGCAGAGAGAATCTCCCAGCCTCAGAGATGGGTTGCACAACATCTGACCATAAATCAGCATCAAATCTGGGATTACTGTGTGTGTGTTTCTGTTCTCCTCGTCTCATGCCTCATGTGTTGCAAAGGCATAACACGGTGAGTGCATTTGGCTGTGCCTGTGGTACAAAGACTGAGGCTGAAGGCTGGAACCACAAAGACCTTTCAGGGCTGGAAGGAGTGGTCACATCTCTAATTCCCAAGTGAAGATTTTGAATGCCTCCTTGCAGCTGGCAGCTGAGGCTGGTTTCCATAAAGACCTGCATTTCCAGAACCAAGGTTTCCTATTAAACTCAGATTTCCCAAGGGGAAAACCCATGGAAGGAAACAGCAGCAAAGGTGCTGGCAAGATGGAGATGGATGTAGAGAGAACTAGACAAGGGGTAAATCTGGCTCTACCAAGGAAACAAATTTATCAGAGTAAATGAAGGGGAAACAAAACAATCTGAGTTATCAACCTCAAGTTATATTTTTGGCAAAAATAAAAGGAATAAACCCATATCTTGGCAGGAGTGACTTCACAGTGTATTGTTTACCATTAACTCATTAGGTCTACATCTGCCATATTAGTTAACTTTGTTGTCACAGGCACTGGTAATGAGCCAAAGACTTCAGCCATCAGTCTGGGCAGCTCCAGGTAAATAGAGTTCACTTATTTACTTTATTAAGGTACAAGTCTGTGCTCTAGTTCCCGCTCCCCTGCTTTACCCTCCACCCACGTTCAGTGTGTGTACATAAAGACGTGCCAGAGAAGCCAAGTCCCTTGTGGGCCACAGCGTATGAACTCTTTTCCTTTTTCTGGAGACAATTACTTTGAATGCTGCTGAGCTGGGCTGGCAGGCTGGGTTGGTAGAAAGCTCTTTCTCTGCATGTCCCTGGTCTGGTTTAGCAAACTCCTGAAGAAGCAAGTCCATGTTTTGGGGCAGAGTTACTCCTTGCGCAGAAGCTGAGTGAGTGTCTCAAATACCAGCCTATGTCACTCTCTGTGTGCACAGAACCCAGCAGGTGGACTGCTGCTGCTTGAAAGCACCTGAACTGCTGCAGACCCCCCCTCAGAGACCCCTGGTGCCCTCCTTCCCAGCAGTCTCCATCTTCCCCAGACCGTCCCACCTATTATTTGCTCTGCTAGCAAAGCATGACACAGTGCATGAGAAAAGTCAGAGCAAACAAATCACTTTTACCCCTGAGATTCCCTATCTGGAAAGCAGGAATAAACTTTTCTTGAGAGGATGTATGATCTTGAGAGGAGTAGCTACTGGGAAGTGACAAGTATTAGTGTTTGGCTACTACCATCATGAAAGCCAAATGGATTGTGGCTGTAGAGCAAGATCCATTAGCCTTTGTTTAGAATGGATGAATGTGCAGCATCCCATGCAATACTGGCTATCCCACGATAAACACACTCCTGCAAATTCTTTATCCCTATTACAATTCTTCCAGATTTGTAAAAAAAGAGTCAAAAACATCTATTAATACTTATAAATCACATGTAATCTCACCAGATAGTAATTTGCCCTAATTTTCTTTAAAATACTTCAATCTTAATTCAGGTTGCTAGTCCTTAAATAATGAAATATCAATAATTAAATATCAACGATTCCATGTTATGGACTCTTGTCACCAGCTCCTCTGAAATGATTGTGTTCTTTCTTCCTAAGAGATGCAAGGAAACAATCTTACAAACTAAGGCACAACCTTTAACTGAGCAACATGTGGAAGGATCCCACCTTTGGAAGGATCATTACAGCTAGGAACACACAGCCTGGGAGGTCTCTGCAGAGCACTGATGGTAACTTTTGACATGGATGGTGGAAGAGCCATTAAGGAGACGTGTGCTGCTGGACCTCAAACTGTCTAAGAAAGAAGGATTGGTTTGGGATATGAGACCTGGGAGTAGCCTTGGTTGTGGTGACCATGAGATGGTGGAGTTCAGGATCCTGTGTGGAAGAAGCAGGACAGTTCTATTACACCTTGAAAATATGCTTCTGTGAAGCATATTTTTTGTAGAAAAAAAGCAGAAATGCATTTCTGCATCTTTGTTCGCTGAATATTTAACAACCCTGCTGTGCTTGGAGCTCTCCTAGAAAGAGAGCTTCACTGAGAAACTTAAATCCTCTGAGAACAAATTCTGTCCCTCCAACAAGTACAATCATAAAATAGCCCCACAGAAATCAACCCTGTGGCATCTGCTTACTAAAGGAGGGCAGAAGCCAATCCACCTCAGAAATAGCTGTGAAGCAATTGTGTGTACTTTTATGTCTCTCTGTGGGACAAATTAAAATGTACTCATCGAGGTGAATTCTTTGTGGATTAATAGAGACCTTAAATATCAAAAGATAACCTGAGTGAAAGCCAGGGTGATCAAACTAGCTCATTTATCCCAATTTTTTGAGAAAATGGGTGTTTTTCCTTAATTTCTGCATCCTGCTTTTATGTAGCTTTCTAGGAAGAAACATCAAAGGCCTCCTCTTTGTTTTCAATTAATGCATGGATCTATAGAAGATGTGCCTGGGAACTAACATTTTACCACCACTGTTCATGCAATGGGAAGTTTCCCATTATTCAGGAAAGAAATTACATCTTTAATTCTATACTTTAACAGAAAGTTCTAATATCACAATTATTTCTGTAGATGAACGAGCCATTGGAGGTTTCAGCATTCTTTGCTGCGTTACAGATTGCTTGTTTTGCTGGAGTAACCATAATAGAGAAACGCAACACTGCCTGTGCTGTGTGGCCATATATGTATATCCCACTGAGAAGTGATACATGACTAGCATCAGCTGTGTCAGTGGGGCTTATACAGCAAGGTTTATGTTTCTTACTGGAGAACTTGCTATAAATATAGCTATAACCACCTACTCATGTTTTATCTTAAAAATCTAGTCACAGATTTTTACAGTCAAGGGTACAGGTAGCTGCTAAGAGGTTAGAGCTCCTTTGAGTAGATTACCCCATATAGATACAATCTAAGAAATCCAGGTTCAGCTGTAGCTCTGTATCACAAATCAGAGCAGCCTTCTTTAGCAGCTGAAGTACTGACTGTAGATATTCCAAACTGCAATGCATTGCAATGCTTGTTTGATTTGTACCCAAGACAAAATGAACCAGTTCAGCAGCCAGGTAATTATTAAGTGCACGCCATAGAAAATGCTATTGGATTGGTTGCGTAAACTAGGGTGTAAATCTGTATCTTCCAGCCTCAAAGAAGCAGTTTATTCTTCTTTCAGAAAATTCTTTTTTGGCAATGTCTGCTAATATTTTACTGTTCCTGCATTCTGAGTTCATTCAAGTCTTAGTAACATGTAGTTTCCCCTACCAACTCTTCTTGTCAGCCTCGCACTCTGGCTCTTCTCATGCTAAACTTCCCATCCATTTATGTCGTGTACATGGCTCAGTAAGGTGCACGCATGAAATGTGCATCATGTTGTACTGATGTGCATTCTCCCAGCTTTCCCTATGTCTTGGTGGCTCAAGTGGCACACAGGACAGACATCTGCTGCGGGCTGACCGAGTGATGAGCAAAGTGGGTCATGAAAACACAGACTCACAGAATGGTTTGAATGGACCTGAAAGTTCTTCTAGTTCCAACACCCTGCTTTGTGCAGGGACACCTTCCACTAGACCAGATTGCTCAAAGCCCCATCCAGCCTGGCCTTGAAACACTTCCAGGGATGCATCCACATCATGTCTGGACAATTTCTGACAAGCATCAGTCCATGGGAGCCGCAGGTCAGAGACCATTAGAAACTGGTGGCAGCAGCAGTCTAGGATCTATTTCCTCGGCTCGAGAGGAAGGAACGAGGCGGAAAGCTGTCCTCCACACAGCGTGTATTCATTCATTCCACTTAGTTGCTTACTAAGTTTTCCATCGCGCCGTTGCCATCAGAGGGACTGACAGCCCCGCACAGCGCTCGGTTCAGCTGATGGCACCGGCTCGGTGCCCCCCGGGAGAGCCGAGCAAGCCCCGAGCAGCAGGTGACAGCCCTCGCTTGGCAGCGGGCGGCAGGGAGGAGCGCTGGGGCTCCCCGGAGCGCTGCCCTCGGCCAGC